ATCAGCTCTGAAAGATTAAAGCAACATCAAAACGTTATCCTTTATATTCCTGTGTAAGCATTTTTGGTGAACACTGTGCACACATTTTTCAGTAACCCAAGGGTTCAGTTATAATTTTATATAGAATGGTGTACAAAACTTCTGAAAACATCAAGGAAAGGCTGGATATCATGAAATGTCTATTCACATGAAATTTTGCATCAACTTAATGAACCAATTCATCATTCACAGTAGATGGCTAGCTGCTTTTTGCTTCATTGTGCACATTCATTCTGCCTGAATTGAATGTTTGAACCTATTTTGTAATCACTCCCTGACCTATAACTATGTTGCTGTACACCTTACAGATTTGCATATAAATTTCACATGGTTGTGTATTCTTTGTGTTCAAGAAACAAATTGTAGAATAGATTTTTTAGTCAGCTGGAACCTTCTGTAGTTTTAAACATACTTAATGCAAGATTTACATGTGTCACCATTTTACTGTATGAAATAAAAAAAATAAGTGTCTTATGTTAAATATAAGATATAAGTGTCTTATGTTTTTAATGTATCATTTTATTTAATAATTAAAATTTGTATTTAAATTGCTAAAGTATGTTTTCATATGTTGAATGTTTACTAACTTACTATAACTATCAATAGTTGTTATCAATAGTTGTTATGATGCCGTAAGGTATTTTATTTTAATGAACCAATTATTATGATTTTGATTTTTACTATAGGTTCTCCTTTCTATATTGTTCACTAGAATGCATAAGAGCTTTGAGCATCTTGTATGTTTTCCAAAATACATTTTTTCAAAACTTAGAATTTGATTCTAAATTGCTTTACAAATTGTTTCCATCCTCAGTTTCAAAACAATGAATAATTAAATTAAACATTTGATATTTTTCAATGTTTTGGGATACTAAATTAGCATTCTTATGTGTTAACAGTTTGTATAAACTCTGTGAATAAATATACCAGAAGAGCAAAAAAATGAAACAAAAAATTTGGAACCTTTCGTATGCATGGAAGCTGTAACAATTTTTACAGATGAGAATATCTAAAACAAATCAATTGTACGCTTTCATCAATTAACATCCCAGAATGTTACACACACAATGTTATGTGTGCCAACATGTAACATTCTGTGAATGTAAATATTGTGTCCACGGCACGCATATTCACCTTTTTTAATATTAGATATAAGCGTTATGGAATGTTGTACTTTAACCCTCTGATTGGCACAGGGTTTCACTAGCCCAAATTTTCCAAAGCTCTCATGAGAAAAAAATATTTTATTGATTTTTATACCCAAAGGATCCTGAAATTTTGTATCTAGATTTATGTTCTTTTAATATATTGCCTTAATTTCTTGGACATATTTCAAGATGAGTATATAAATACTCTAGGCATATACATGGCCTCGCCATTTTAGAGAGTTAACTGTGGCACTGTTAGGCCACGATTTGCGATTAGGCCATGATCCACAAGGAAATTGGTATTTAACGCATTAATATAGCCAATTTAGTAAAAGTTGCCACATTTTTAGAACATGTCTAACTTTTGCAACCATGCTCGTAACAATCCTTTAGTCAAGCAATGCCGTCATTTTCATTTTTTTTTTTTTTTTTTTTTTTTAAGCCCAAAAGGGCTATTTGACCAGAAGGTCTATTAATTTCGTTTTTGCATTTTGCGTTGGCTCACTGTAAACGGCATTTCACTCTTCAAATTGTTGGCACCAAATATTAAAGCCTTGCATTTAGTTAAAGAAATTAAATAATGAAGAATCTGCATGAATGTATGTATGTTTCTCACACTGTGAAAAAACAGTGAAACCTAGAGACACCAAATTTTGAATAATGTAGTCCTTTACTCAAATATAGGCATGTAGAAGCCTAAATTTGGAGTTAGAAATTTGTTTTATTATCTATTTGAAATTTTCTAAAAATTTAGCGAATTTTTGAGTAATACTCAACAATTTCAAAGCAAGCACTGTACTAAAAAAAAGCAGCCTTATCTCCAGTGCATGAGACTGTATTGAAAATTCTAAAGGCATGCTCTTTTAAAATTATTTTGTGATATTGCTGTTGAATTGAATTTCATGGTTTTAAGTGTGAAGAGCATGATATTTGATAAATAAAGTTAACATGCAAAATGTTGGAAAATGCCCTTGGGCATAATTAAAAATCTGAAAACTTTCAGATTTTTTTAAAACTTTTTTTTTATTATTATTTTAAGTTTTAATTGTTTTTTTAAAATTTATATCATGATATTTTTAGACTTTTAAACTTAGTTTTAAAATGTAAACTTGTGAATTTAGCCAGCGATTAAAGAAACTGCAATAAAATTTCTGCATGAAAATTTCTAAAGAGAACAACATCGAAATGCATTCCTAGATATTATGTTGCTGAGGTGCAAAGCTGAGTCTCTGCGATTCTCTGGTTTTTTTTTTTTTTTTTTTATTTTTTATTTTTTTATTTTAAAGAAAAACAGATTATGTGCATTCTAGGAGAAGAGAATAACATAAAAATTATAGAAAGATTCGGGTAAAAATATGTCTTATGTTTTTAATGTATCATTTATTTATAATTAAAATTTGTATTTAAATTGCTAAAGTATGTTTTCATATGTTGAATGTTTACTAACTTACTATAACTATCAATAGTTTTCTTAAAATTTTCTATCAATTTTTCTTAAAAAAATTATGAAAAACATCATCTTGCACAACATCTGTTGTTTCATCTATAAAAAATGCCAAATTAAACCAAGATGGTTGCATTAATGCATAAGTACTAGGAAACTTAATATATATTAAAAAATGTATAGGGGCAAAACACTATATAATGCAGGAATTGTAAATATGTGTAGGTTGATAGACTTTATCTTGAAATTATTTTGAGTTTAGTATTGTGGTATGAAGAAAATGCAATATTTGAGACAACAGTCACAAACACATATAGACAACCATTTAGCCAGCAAAATAGTTTATACATTTGAGAGTTCATTTAATGTTTCTTTTTCTCTTTTCCTTCTTTTTTTCTGTTTTTTTCCATGTATTTTTTATGGTACAATAATTTTTCTCTTTAAAATTACATCTTGCAATATTTATATTTTTTATTAAATATTTACACATTTAAATTATTTTTTTAAATTCTAATTTAGGTTCTGAAATTCCTATTAAGCAGCTTTGTGATGTAAGTGGAAATGAAAACTGCATAATAATTGGAACTCTTTATAAACACATGGAGTTGCATCCGAGCATACTAAGAGAAATCAGTGAAGAAGTTGGTATCAGTTTTTAAAATATGATATATGTTAAACCATCTACCATGTTAGGTAGATGCGTAAGTTAAATATTGATTTTATTTATATCATTGTTTTGGTATTTGGTATTACAATAATGAACCTACCTTATAATTAATCCCTGAATGTAATGAATGAACCGTTTGTTGCTGTCCTGTTTCCTATATACTTATGCTATTTTATCATGTTATAGTGAACTGCCAAGACTATAAAAACAGATATAATGAATTGTATGGATATCTTTGATTAAACTTTTTTGTGTTTTTTATATTTTTTCTAAAATTTTGCAAGTTTTAACAAAACAACAACAATAAAAAATTATCCATGTTTAGAACAATAGGATCTATACTTCAGCCATATTCCATCCATAAAGAAACACATCTTAGTGCTATTTTCTTTCATTTTCACCAACCACTTTTAAACAAAGGCTATATAGTGCAGGTGTGACATCCAACTTTAGGAGAACGAGGGTACAGTAAACATAACTTAGAACACCATGTGGTGTACATGACTGTTGAACCAAAAAACATGAATAGTTTCCCCAATTTATTCAAATTCTTTGACTGAGCTTCCCGACAGAATTTTATTTAAGGCTAAGAGGAAACAGTGAATCTTATATCTTATGGTTTTGCAGTTGATTCTTCTTTTAGGAAATGAAAAGTTTTGATCCCCTTTGTTTTGTTTGTTTGAGCACAAATGCTTTAAAATTTCTATTAATTGTGTTCTCATTTGATAATTGGATAAGACATGTATTTGACATTTTCATATGTTCTAGAAGAGTAAAATTCTCACATTTTCTTTAACCAAACTATCTGTATTCTGTTTCTGTGTCAAAAATTCACCCACATGGCAAGCTGCAAATCTAAGGCTTCTGCATTGAAAATGAGGTGAACATAATTCTAAAATTACAAAATTGATACTACCAAATCAATATCTGACAAAATATAGTTTATCTAAATCTACAATTGGTGCCATACAGAAAAACTCTGTAACCTCTGCTGAATGAAAAAATTTGGAAGGAAAAAGTTAAGAAAGGTGGAGCACAGGAATGTTGAAGAAGCATTGCTGAAATTGTTCGGCATTCAAAAGAAGCCTTAATCTGCAAATATCTGAATAAATGCTTCTGACAAAGGACAATTGATCATACACTTGTGGAGAGTGGAAAACATCAACCAACAAATTTAACAAATGTGCAGAATTATAAATGCAATTAAATCTTAATATGATTCTTTTAAAATTAGATATATCAATCATTATTTTTGATAGATGTGAAAACATGGATCAATTTGTGTTTTTATTCATCATTCAGTTTTTAGACATTTTTGTCTGATAATGTATTTTTCTTATCTTTTTGGACATAGTGAACCGAATTTCTGGGACATTGAAGTTTGTTATAGTGGGGATTAACTTTATTATTGTTTAATATGCATTAAAGTTTGTTTTTTACCAATTTAGTGTTTTTTTATCATTATATAAACTGAGATAGTTCCTACATTTCTGCTTTGGAAATTAAGTTGTTAATCGACTTTGGGGCATTATTCTGTTACGTTTATTAAAATAAGTTTCCTGCTTGAAGCTGTAATCGGAATTGTTGACTACTACTAGAAAAAAAAAATTTGCTGTAGACCAACGATTCTCAACTGGTGGTACGCATACCACTGGTGGCACACAAGAGAAAAATGCAAAGAAACGAAGTATTTTTTACTGTTATATTCAAAAATTAAATACCACAACATCTTGTTAAAAGTTTTTTCTCTAACACTGGTAAATTTATGCGATTTGAACTTTGCTCACCATAGACTTTAGCAAAATAATACTTTAGCACTCATAGACTTTAACAAAATAATCTATTTTTTTTTCACAAGTATTCTTTTATCCATAGGACATAACAAAATTTTGATAAATGATGTTTTACAAAATAGTAATAGAAATGGATGTTGTACTTCATAAGCAATAAAAATAAGTTTCTACAATGCTAACAGTATCTCATTAATTCTTTTAGAGTTGATCGATTTATTAGCATGTTTACACTTTATGTCACCACCATTTCTGGGCTCATATTGCTCTATTTCCAATTAGGATAATTTATTTGCTGTCTCTTAACAGCAGGTATTTTGTCATCATGTTGCTTTTGTATTCCTTACTTTTCGATCAGATTAGAGAATATCATCGTTTGTTTTTGATGAACTTGTAATGTATTGTGCGTTTAAATATTTGTCAAAAAATAATAAATCAAACTTAGATTTTTTAAAGTAGAAAAATGTCTAGGATTGACTTAAGTGGAAAAGTGATGATTCACAGGTGAGTATTCCAAAACAATCTACTAACCACTAAGAATACTGAAAAGAAAAGAAAAAATGTTTATAGAAAAAAATATAATGAAAGTTATTTATCATTTGGGTTTACTTGGAATGGAGATGAAGCAGACCCTCAACCTCAGTGTGTTATTTGTGGTGAACTGTTATCTAATCAAAGTATGAAACTGTCGTTTCTTAAAAGACATATTGAACGTAAGCATGCCAATTCAATGTATAAATCTGAATAATATTTTAAGAGGAAATTATTGGAGTTCAAAAATAGTGAAGTAATGAAAAGTTTTGTTACTTCAAGTGAAAAAGCTTTGGAAGCTAGTTACCTAGTAAGCCTAAGAATTGCCGAGACTGGACAGGCTGACACTACTAAAGAAAGCGTTATGTTACTAGCAGCTGAAGATATCATTTTAACTTATTAAACGAAAAAGCGGCTAATGAACTTAATAGTATTCCTTTATCAAATGATGCACTAAGTGGATGAATTCATGAAAGGGCAAATTCCATAAGAGACACTTATTCAAAAAAATAAAATACAGTGAGCATTTTGCCTTACAATTAGATGAAAGTACTGATATAACAAACTTTGTTCAATTATTAGTTTACATACGTTTCGAAGAAGATAAACGAACTGCCCAAAGTATTTGTTTTGCAAACCTATTCATGATAGAGCAACTGAAAATGAAATTTTCAAAGTAATTGACAATTTTGTATCTCAGAATGATATTCTTTGAAATAAGCGGATTGCCATATGCAGTGACAGAGCTGAGCCTTTAATAGGAAAACTTTCCGGTGTTATTTCTCAACTAAAGAAAGTTTCATGTGGAACTAAGTTTACTCATTGCTCTGTTCATCATGAAACTTTAGTAACCAAAAGAATTCTTGAAAACCTGAAAATTGTTTTGAATTAAGCTAATGAAAATTGTTAATTTTGTTAAAAGCCGAGTTTTGAGTTCAAGAATATTTATGATTGTATGCCAAGAGATGGGTAGAGAACATGAAATGTTTTTGTTACATCCGAAATATGGGGGTTATCCGGAGGCAAAGCTTTAAAACGTCTTTTTGAACTTCGATCAGAAATCAAAATTTTCCTCTGTGATTCAAAATTTGAATTGCAAAATTATTTATTTAGTGAATTATGTTTGGTGTGTTAAGCATAGTTAGCTGATATTTTTGGAAATTCAAATGAATTAAATTTAGGATTACATCGACAAAGTGTTAATTTGTTTACCATTGGAAATAAAATAAATGCAATGATATAAAAAAATTCAACCTAATTATCCAAGAATTGGATAATAACATTTTAAGCTTCTTACCACTTTTAGAAAGTTTTCTAAATGAAAATAATTTGAAAATAAAAGAAGAATTAGCACCCGACATTAAAAATGATTGCCTTCATTGATAAATAATTTCAATATATATTTTCCCAAATATTATGAAAAATAAAATGGGATTAGAAATCCATTTTGTTCGAATATACCCAAAATTTTATCTCATGAAGAAAAAGAACAATTGATAGAAATTTCCAGTGATCGAACTCTAACTGAAGATTTCAAAAGTAACACACTTGTAAAATTTTGGCTGAACCAAAGAAAAGAATTTCAAATAAAGCTATTAAATTTTGATTGCCTTTTGCACAACATATTTGTGTGAATAAGGACTTTCTTTTATGTTATATATGAAAAATAAATACAGAACAAATTTAAAAGTGGATCCTAATTTACGGTTAAAACTAAATAATAAGACCAGATGTAAAGAAGTTGATCTCAAACAGGCGCAGATTTCACACAAAATATTAGAATTAAAGTATTATAACTTAAATTTTGATAATTAAAATGGTAACCAATTTTTAATCTAATATTTTGTATGTGTGCATATTTAATACAAACAGCCAATACGTTGTGCCAATGGCAATATATATATGTATACATGTATATGTTTAATATTTCTTTTGAGAAATTGAAAAATAATCATTATAAAATGTAATGGTGGTACTAAAGTTTTTTAATTTTTGTTTAGATGGTGCACGTTAGTCAAATGGTTGAGAACTGCTGCTGTAGATTATACTGAGTCACAATAATTATTTCAGTGCATCTTTGTTGAAGCAGCCATCACACACCAATTTTAATGAGTAACTGTAGTGATTATTTTAAGTCAAATCGAACATTATAAATTTCATGCTTAAATTTGCCAGTTTTGGTGTCAAACTGCAGAGGCTGCTTTAAATAAGAAATACTATTATTTCTACACTCATAGGCAATCCAGGTAGCATTTATTATGCTTATATGCAATTTTTTTCAACAAAATAGAAATTTCTTTTGAGACTTAACCAAATGATTAGTTTTACTGTATGAAGTAATATTAATATGTTTAGAATCAATTGAATTACTTTTTTTTCCCTCAGTTCAGTTCTAATTAGGAGAAATAAGGTGCTTGGTTACTTGGTTTCAGCTTTTTAGAAGAAGTTTTATGAGACAGATATTAAATTCAGTGATATACTGATAATTTTAGTTATTTTCATAACTTTCCTGTTTGTTTTTCATTATTCATTAATTTGGAAATTTGTTTCTTTAACTTTGTGATAACTTTGTGATACACAGGGTGGTAACCCTGTGTACAAGTAGCTAAAGCATTGAGATACTGGTATTTCATCCTGAATTCTATTTCTGGGA